AAACTCATGATCAAGGTTGAGTATGTTTACCAAGCTTCTCAAAACAGAGAATGGCAGTGAAAAGAAGCTTCCAATACCACTCCACAGAGCAGCAACCAAAGGGCCACGAAAATGCACTACAAGGAGGCACCTTTCTCTTCAAAGAAAGCTTCTTGGAGCCTCCACACTCAAGACAAAGGCTTCAACCTCACAACTCAGAAAACTCAGCACCTTAACCTCCCAAACTGACCCTTTAACTCAGAAACAATATGCTACACACAAGTGTTTACAAGGAAAAGGAGAAGGAAAATCAAGAGAAAGGTGGTAGCTTGGTCCCAAAATGATGAAGAATGGCAATGAAACAGTGCCAAGCACTCAACCACCCAAGGAGTCACGTAGGAAAACTGATTTGCCTAGGGTTTTGGGCCAAGCAAGGGTATTTATAGTGGTTTACAACTTAAACACACAATATTAGAAATAATAGCTACGCTTAGTATTTTAATCCCAAACTCAGGATTCTTAACCTACTCATTTTTACAAGATTTAACATATTTTTCTCATATTTTTCGGAGCACCTTTTCGGTACGCGCTTTTCATAGCCAGTATCAGTTTCTGGCACCAGTTCTCGTTATTTTAACTTGAAACTCATTTTACAAGTCCTACATATTATTCTAGGAATTAATTTTCTGGGATACTTTTTCGGTACGCATTTATATCGACTAGCAGAACCGGTATCTGCACTTTTCGTCAGAAAAGCGACTTTCAGCATTATTACTCAATTATTATAATTATTAGAGCCTCATAATAATTATTAGGGTCAATTATGGAATTATCTCATTAAACTCATAATTAACTGATTAATTTCCTTAATTAACGGTGCGAGTTCTTACAGGTATGCTATACGGATTCTGAGTTGCAATCTAAATTGACATAGTAATAGCGTGCATTTTCATTTATTTGTGCTTTATGAACTTATAAAATTATGATTAGGTAATTTTTGAGCTTATTTAGTGAATCTTAATTAACTCATTTTAGTTATGGAGAATATAATTAAATTTATATGTTCATATTTACATATATTTACATATATCTTTTTATATATCCAGGTCAACCCGTCCAACCAGTGACCCACCGATCTGAGTACCAGTGACCTAGTGATCCAGTAGCCCGACCGGATCGATGTCCGAGTCAAATTTAATAACACTGGTAAGAACAATAGTTATAATATCCAAATAATAATAATAATAATAATAATAAGTTTATTTATTTTGCTACATAAAATAAGATATAACTAATAGTACTAAAATATATAATTAGTTCAATTTTCATGGTACTGGCTTAAATTTATTATAAAATATGAACATTTTATACATAAGTATACAGTCATATGTATTATATTATATGTATAGGAATAATATACGATTATTTCTTTTATTTCTTACTTTTATATAAATAATATATCGCAAATATTAAATACTACTGCATTATAAATTTTATTATTAATAAAATATTTTTTAGCATTTAAGGATGTAACATGTATTAAGAAATAAGGTTTTCTTTTTCTACTGTCAATGTAGATAACTTGTCTACATTGAGCCTAAAACGATATCGTTTTGGGACGAAAATAAAGGTATTTTTGTAATTATATTTTATTTTAGGGTTGTAATAGTCTTTTTCATTATAATTTTTTAATTTTTCAATCCAAAACGACGTCGTTTTGGGAGCGAATGGAGATAATTTATCTCCATTCACTTAAAGCCTAAGAAATATCAATATATTATATACTTTTGATGTAATAACAGCATTCTAAATGTATTTATTAAATAATCAGTTATATACATGTATAATATCATATTTTATAAGCATTTTATCTTATACAAATATAAAAACGGGAATGATATTGTATAACCAATTAATGTTAGTACTAAAGTTACTACCAATCAATTTCACTGTTAGATCGATTATGTTGATTCAACGGTTATATTTATTTCTATCTTTGTGATTATGCTTCCCCATATTCAATATTTTATATTTAATTTCACCATTGTATGGTTATGATTTTCCATATTTAATTCATATTAAATATAGGAAATCATAACCATATAAAGATGAAAATAAATATAATCGTTGGATCAACATAATCGATCTAACGGTGAAATTGATTGATAGTAACATTGGTAGTAACATTACTTGATTGTTACAATATTCTATCCGATATAAAAATAGTATAAAAAAATAGTAATAATAAATAAATAAATAGTATATATAATTGCATATCTAATATATTGATCGTGATATATATGGTCACGACTGGAGTTGCTAGCTCTGTATAACTCGTATAGCAACAAAGTTAAAAAGTTAATAAAAATGTTATTTTTGGGGTGATATCAAAACCCAATGGAAGCGCAGTAGCGCACACTTCACAGAGAGAAAATCAGGAGTGAATTAAGTAACTCTTTTTTAAATTTAAATAAATAACACAAAGAAAATACCAATCGGTCTAAATTGTTTTAATAGGAAAAGAAAAGGGAGTTTTTTTTTTAAATGTAGAAATTGCTTGCTTTAATTAATTCCTCATAACGGAGGGGATTGGCAATGCCTATCAATCTCGTCGTGTCAAGAACAATCTATATAGGCGTGAATTAATTCAACAAAAAGAAATTAATAAATTATCATGTGCATTATACAACTATTTTAAATTTAAGTTAAATTCAAAATGTATGAATTATAAAGTATATTTCTAGAAATTGTTTAAAATTATATATAAGAGGTGCGTACTTAATTAATTTAGTAAAATCAAAATTATACATCAAAAGAAAAGAATTAAAAATATAAAGAAAATGTGCATAATCAATTCAGAAAATTTAATTTAAAATTAAAAAAATGATAAGTTAAAAATGACACATGTCCTTCTTGAGGGATCATAAACTAAAAGATTAAGAATCTTAAGATACTGTATTCTAATGACGTATAGAAGGAGTGGAACAGTTGAGTTTTGGAAAAGAGAGAGTAAATTTTAATGTAAAAAAATAAAATTTAAGACTGAATTTTGAGAAAAAAAATAATAAAGGAAAATTGAGAATAATAAATTTGAAAGGATAACTAAATGAGATTTGATAAAATAAATTAAAAATAAATTTTAAGATAGAAAAATTTAAAGATATTAATATTTTGAATTTTTTAAAAAGTAAACAAAAGTATTAGAATAACAGTTAAACCACCAGTGTTAATGAGGGAAATAAAAGATTATTTCACTTAAGAGTGAGAATTATATTCTACTATATACGGATGGATATATTACTCATTTTGCTAAAAATAAGATTTTTTTCCTGTCCTTTCAAAGCATAATTCCAAGGGAAAAATATTTATATTTTTGGTATATAATTTTTTTTCTTTGATATTTACGTAAAAGAGAGTAAGTCCTTTATATGAAAGGAAAAGAGAAAAAAAAGGGATTTGTTCATTTTTATTTGAGTATAATAGAAATTTTTTTCTACAATAAAATCAGAAATATTATTCCCTAATAGCAATTTAATCTTTGAATGAAAGATAACGACTTAATTGTTATCGGAAATAAAATTCAAATATGAGCTATAGTGAAAAGTCTCACGTTGAATAGAAATGGATCAAGTGAGGACTTTATGAGTTAAATAAACTCATTGCCTCAATATTTTTAGTTGAAATATAGTATTAAGCCCACTTATCGTGGTTGTTTAATTCATTGCAAAAGATTTTGGGCTCATCCATGCCATTTTAACAATTGTATTTTGGCAAAGCATGATATTGAAACTCTTACTTTGAGGAAGGTAAAAATGTTGGAAATGATATAACCCAAAAAAATCCATAGACTCACAAATTAACTTAATGCAAAAGGGTTTTGGGTTCCTATATGGTGGAGAATCAATCAAATTGGGGAGATAATTTTCCTCTCTTAGAAGAGAATCATCAATAAATCAGTAATCAATTATTTACCAATGTATCTATTGGATTTCAGCTTTAATAGTTACATAATTTTGGAAACATGATATCTAAATTATATGTCCCAATTGCAAGTATGGCAGTAAATATTATTTCAGGATTTATTAATTATCATATCTGCAACTTTTTCATAATTTAAGGAAATACATTGGAATGTTGCAAAGTTAGGTAGATTTTCTTATCCTCCCTCTTGGATTTAATATGGTAACATTTAAATTTATTGCAAGAATCATTTACATACACGAATATTACCTTCTTTAATTAAATTACCTAACAAAAATTATTACTAGATTCCCTCTTAAATATATTTCTTTAACATGTCATTATTATTTATAATATATTTTTCTTTGATGTTTGAAGTCGTAACTTGGAATAATCACAGAATAACTTGCTAGACAAATAAATTTCAAACTACCTCAAATTGAACTTCTTATTTTTATTGCTCCATGTAGTTCTTCAGAAAAATACAACGCTTCATTGTCATATACTGAAAACTAATGGTGCACGAATATGCCAATACATCTAGGAGTTGCCTTGGTTATGTAAATTTGTTATAATTACACAATTAATAATTTTTATTAATTTATAGAAATAAATTATACCATGAATTTAATGAGAATCCTAACATAACAATGTCCAATTAGAGTTTATCGAATCTAATTAAAAAATTACCTAATAGCTACCAATCCTCCCCACCACGGGCTCAAATCCATTAATTGGTTACTCATATTGTAAATTTCGTAGTTTTAAAAAATGCCAGATTTGCTTTATTCTCCATGGATGGAAGGACATGAAAACTTGAAATTTTACTCAGCCGCCCCCTTTTGATTACCAATTGTTAGGCCGAAACATTATAACACAACCATATTAGTATTCGGTGCACCATTAATGCTGCAACCAAGGGTTTAATCTAAAATTAATTTAGGGGTCTCGAATGGGTCTATATAAAGAAGAGATTGCTTGGAGCAAGAAAACCACAACGTATAACTTTTCCCGATTTCCTTCTTTCCCCCAGTTTTTATATCTGCTCACTAGCTACCGCCATGGCTAGAAAGAGAGTGAAGCTCGCATTCAAGGTAAATGACTCTGTGAGGAAGGCAACATACAAGAAAAAGAAGAACGGTATGATGAAGAAGCTCAAAGAGATCTGCACCGTTTATGGGATTGAGGCATGTGCTATAGTGTACAAGCCTCATGCTCGTCAGCCAGATATTTGGCCTTCCCCAGAGGGGGTCAAAAAGGTGCTGTCCAGGTTCGCGCAGGTGCCTGAACTTGACCGGAGAAGAAACATGATGAACCCGGAGAGTTACCTGAGTCAAATGATCCGGAAGGCCAAGAAGCGGCTGGAGAAGATAAGGGAAGAGAATAGGCAGAAGGAGAAGACCCTTCGCATGTACCAATATCTTAAGTCGGGGAAGATCCCTGACAATTTAACCAAGGCTGAGCTAAAAGATCTGGCTAACGTGATTGATCAGCAAATGAAAGAAATCAAGGAGAAGATGGCTGAACTAGGGAAGGCTGAAACGGCTCAGAGCCAATCCACAATGGTAGCATCGGCATCGCTTGATGATGGAACAGCCAGGAACAAAGGGAAGGCACCTGTGGATGGTGGCCATGGATTGGAGGTGATTCTGGATGTCATGAAAAACAAGCAGTGATTAATGCCTTAATCAATGGTGGTGGGGATGAGTTGTTGCAATTTGGAGATGTTAATCTCCAAATTGTCTTCCGGCCAACCCCTTTCTCCCTTGAAAAAGTCGTGCGTTTATGTTTTGTTTTATGGTTTTTGCCCAGTTCAATTTCATGTTGTTTGGTTTTCAAATTTTAATTGTCGAGTTTTTAAATAATAATAAAAATTGCTATTATCTTGGCATTCTGTTCTAGATTGTTTATAATTTGTGCTTTGATTGTTGGAAACTTTCATGACGTTTATTGCTTGCGATTCAAACTTTTATTTGCTTGAAACAACCTTCTTTTCCACAGATAATTACATCTGGGTTTAACAGTAACGCAATTGGACTAATTTAATTAATTGAAATTGTTTATATCGTGCAATATACATGGGTATTAAGAAGCACAGATATGATTCTCCTTCAAAGTTCCCCGCCAATTAGACACGTTATTACCTCATTAGTTTATTATAATAGACAATAATATTGATATTAAAAGTATTGCATTGTTAATACTTAATAGTCAAAAGAAAAGCCCTAACTTGATGCGTTGATCACGTACACCAGAAGCTCAGTTTTTTTTTTCACCCGTTAGCAGAGGCCGTTAGAAGTGGACCTCGTTCCACAGGCATGTGGATTGTAGTAGAAACAAAGTATTATAATCTATCATCTCATCTATTTGGCAAAATAGAAGCCAAGTCTTGATGGAACCATTTGATGATTTTTCTACACAAAAGGTTGAGTTTCACTGGCGTTTCTGATTTATCATCCTTTTCTTTTCCGTCCGTGGAATTCATGAGCTAGCAACAGTTGCATCTAAATTTTGAGCAATCCCATGTCCGATTTTATATAATCTATACTCCTGATAAATATTAGATAAAATCACTTATTTTTAATATTTTTTATTTCTCATAAGTCATAACAAATCCATAACAAATCTGTCCTGGACATCTCAATATTGTTTTTTTTTTTTAAATAGGAAAATGATTCGTTATTTTAAAGGAGAAAAACATGTATAATTTTAAGTGAAACTTTTGGTAGTTGTGTTTTGGTAGTTGTGTACCTTTTCTCTCCTTTATAATATTTTCGTCTCTTTTCTAATTTTGAGAATGATAGAGAATATAAAAAGTTATCAAATATGCAATAAAACACAGTAATTTTACTTAAAATGACACAAGCTTATGTCCTTTAAAATGACAAAAAATCTTTCCATTAAATTAGCAAGTCGCATAAATAATTTATTATGCTCAAGAACCCAAAATTTGCACATTCGTGTTTTATCTTTTTTTTAATACAAGTGAGAATTGAATACATATCCTAATACAATTTGATCAAACCCCTCTCCACTAGGTCAATCTAGTGCCTTATGTTTTATCTCACTTTGATTAAACAAAAATAAGAACTCAAGACGCTCATAAATGTTGAAATCAGTTTACACTCGAATTTTTTTTTGTAGTCGAATCTGAATTTCAATTTCGGATAATAAGCATATCGACCATTTTCTCTGGTATTAAATTTAAAAACCATAGATTTGTTATCTTTAATCATGTGAATGAATTATTATTCGAACTATGAGGTCTTGAATTCTTGTGCTTCGGTATTGAATTGTGAAGGAGCTAATTAATTATATAAAGTGGCAAAGAGGGGCAGACGGGCAGTGTCTTAGAGGGTTTTGCCAATAACTACGTACGTGGATTTAGAAGTAAATCCACGTGTTTTCTCGTTTGCATGTGATGATTTATTCTGATAATGTTAAAAAGTGTCCCTAATAACTTCAAAGTAGAAGTTGCGTACTACTAGAAAAATTAATATGAATCAGGATTAAACATAATCATTTTTGTTGGACCATTAGAGCGGGAAAAAAATCCATCTATAAAACGGACGACAATCCCTTGCAAGAGGAGCATATTATTTCATGCCTAAGAGAGACATTATTTTTCGTCTCTGTTTGAAGAAAAAAAATGTATCTCTATTTGGGATGCGTTTCAAGACGGAAGTAAATGATTTGTCTCAAAATCCATCTCTAACAGAGGTTGATCACTTACAGTCTCAAATAGGTTCAAAAAATGACCTGTCTCTAATTGGAATGAAATAAAATCCCTCATTAATAGAGATGAAATTATTTCCATCTTTATTAGAGACAGATTTAGAGATGGAATATGTATTTTCGTATCTAATTTAGTCACTGATAGAGACAATTTTTTTTTTAAACTTTATTAATGAGGGATCATGTTCCATCCTTAATAAAGACAGATCATTATCCTTTCAAATTGAGACAAAAATAATGTCTCTCTATTTGGGACCGATTTTGAGAAGGAAGTAAGTGACCCGTCTTAAAATTCGTCTCAAATAGAGATATATCACCTTCTGTCAGAAATAGAAACAAAAAATAAATAGTCTCTATTAGGGATGGAACAAGATCCCTCACAAATAGATATGGAAACTTTTTACGTCTTTATTGGTGACTAAATTAGAGAAAAAAAATTCACTTTCCATATCTAAATATGTCACTGTTAGAGATGGAAAAAAAATCTATCTTTAATTTTCTTCAATTTTTTGATAGAATTTATCATTCAGTTGTGTAAAGTGGATGACGATATTTTAATATCGAGTAACTTTTCAAAACCTTTGCAATGGAGACATCGAACCGACAATTCTTTTTATGGAAAACCCCCCATTTTCAAGGGTTCAGGGGAAGTAAAAGGAGAAGAACAATTAATAGTCACCGTTTCTTCTTTTATATGTTCATGTAAATTCATATTTGAGTGTTTAAGGTTTAAGGGTTTAGGGTTTGCGACTTTGGATTTAGGATTTAGGGTTTGGGGGTTAGGTGTTAGGGTTTAGGGTGTTATGGTTTAGTGTATTAGGGGGTTGTGGTTTAGGGTGTTAGGGGTTAGGATTTATGGTTTAGGGTTTTGGGATTTAAGGGTTTAAGGTGGTAGGGGTTAGGGTTTTAGGGGTTAAGGTATTAGGGTTTCAGGGTTCATGGTGTTGGGACGGGTTTCCAGACGAAAGTAAATGATGTGTCTCAATTTTCATCCCTAATAGAGGTTGATCACTTACCATCTCAGATATATTCAAAAAGTGACCTGTCTCTATTTTGAATGAAACAAGATCCCTCTTTAGTAGAGATGACATTATTTCTATCTTTATAGGTGACAGATTTAGAGATGAAATAAGTATTTTCGTACCTAATTTCATCACTAATATAGATGAAATTTTAGGATCCTATTCCATCCTTAATAGAGATGGATCATTTTGCTCTCAAATTGAGACAAAAATAATGTCTCTTTATTTGGGATCGATTTTGGGATAGAAGTAAGTGACCAGTCTCAAATAAAGATATATCACCTTCTGTCAGAAATAGAAACGAAAAATAAATCATCTCTATTAGGGATGGAACACAATTTCTCACAAATAAATTTGGAAATTTTTAACGTCTACATTTGTGACTAAATTAGAGTAAAAAAATTCACTTTCCATAGCTAAATATGTCATAGTCAGAGATGGAAAAAAATCTATCTTTAATTTTCTTCAATTTTTTGATAGAAATTACCATTAAGTTGTCTAAAGTGGATGATGATATTTTTATTTCGAGTAACTTTTCAAAACCTATGCAATAGAGACATCGAATTGAGAATATTTTTTTTTTGGAAACCCCCTTAATTTTCAAGGGTTTAGGGGAGGTAAAAGGAGAAGAATAAGTAATAGTCACCATTTTGTCTTTTATATGTTCATGAAAATTAATATTTGAGTGTTTAATGTTTAAGGGATTAGGGTTTGGGGTTTTTGAGATTTGGGTTTAGGGTATAGTGGCTGGGAGTTAGGGTTAGGGTGTAGGGTATGTGGTCTAGGGTTTAGGGTGTAATGTTTAGGGTTTAGGGGTTATGGTGTATGGTTTAGGGGTAAGGAGTTTAGGGTTTAGGGTTTAGGGGTTATGGTGTATGGTTTAGGGTTTACGGTTTAGGGTTTAGGAATTTAATTAAGTAATTATGTGAAATTAGAAAATAATTCCATAATTGACCCTAATAATTATTATGAGGCTTTAATAATTATTGTAAGTGAGTAAGAATTCTGAAAGTCGCTTTTCGGAAGAAAAGTGTAGATACCAAGAATGCTGAAAGTCGCTTTTCGGAAGAAAAGTGTAGATACCGGTTCTGCTAGTCGGTATAAATGCTTACCGAAAAAGTATCCCGGAAAATTATAATAAGTGCATGATAATTACTAGAATAATATGTAGGACTTGTAAAACGAGTTTCAAGTTAAAATGATAAGAACTGGTGCCAGAAACTGGTACTGGCTATGAAAAACGCGTACCAAGAAAGGTGCTCGGAAAATTATAAGAAAAATATGATAACTCTTGTAAAATTTTGTAGTTTAAGAATCCAAAGTTTGGGATTAAAATGCTAAGCGTAGCATTTAAAGCTAATACTGTGTGTTTAAATGAGCTCTGGCTATAAATACCCTTGTGATGGCACAAAACCCTAGGAAACAGATTCTCTATGTGAGTGTGGGGCTGGTCAGCTGCTGGTTCCACTGTTCCATTGCTTCACCGCCATTTTGTGAGCCTTGTGACCTCTTTTCTTCATTTTCTCTTCACTTTGTACCTTGGGTGAGTGGGAGAGATAATTGTGAGTGTGAAAAGAGCACTTTCCCTGAGTGTGGTGGCTGTGTGGAGGCTGTTTGGGGTCTGAGTTGCTTTGTGAGAGTGTGTGAGCTTCTTCCTTGGGTTGTTGGAGCTCCAAGGAGCAATCTTTGTGAAGAAAGATCCTTGCTTGGGTGGCATTTTCGTGAACCCTTGAAGTAAGTACCTTGGAGCTGTTGTGTGAGCTCCAAGAGCAGCCCTTTGCCTTTGTTTTGAACTTTGGTAAGTTGTACCAACCTTGATCTTGGTTTTGATGAGTAAAAGAGGTGTCTTGGTATGTTTAATGAGTTAAACAAGTAACCAACTGTCTTATGAACATAAATGAACCTTAAGATGCATGTTT